TCAGTGGTCGCATTGGTTTCATTTTTGGTTTGCTTGTAGGGCGCTGGCACCCGCATTCAGTGACCCAGAAAATTTGGCACTGCTGTGGATAGTTTAGTCGCAAAGTGAAGATTCACGGGTAAAAAGCCCCAAACTTCTAGATAGGTTCTTTTTCAGCTTTCAGCAGCCCTGGGTAAGTTCTTTAGAGAAATGTGGCTCTTTTTCATGGTGCTATTTTCTATGTCCAGCTACACAACGAGATGAGGATGGTCATTGTCATTTTCTGAGCTGCGAACGGGCAGAAAGGTGAGAAAATGTCGGATTTTGACCATTTGTGCTGACCTTTCAATTTCAACGTACCTCTCTATAACATGACCCAGCTGCAATTTCAGTGGTCGCATTGGTTTGATTTTTGGTTTGCTTGTAGGGCGCTGGCACCCGCATTCAGTGACCCAGAAAATTTGGCACTGCTGTGGATAGTTTAGTCGCAAAGTGAAGATTCACGGGTAAAAAGCCCCAAACTTCTAGATAAGTTCTTTTTCAGCTTTCAGCAGCCCTGGGTGAGTTCTTTAGAGAAATGTGGCTCTTTTTCATGGTGCTATTTTCTATGTCCAGCTACACAACGAGATGAGGATGGTCATTGTCATTTTCTGAGCTGCGAACGGGCAGAAAGGTGAGAAAATGTCGGATTTTGACCATTTGTGCTGACCTTTCAATTTCAACGTACCTCTCTATAACATGACCCAGCTGTAATTTCAGTGGTCGCATTGCTTTCATTTTTGGTTTGCTTGTAGGGCGCTGGCACCCGCATTCAGTGACCCAGAAAATTTGGCACTGCTGTGAATAGTTTAGTCGCAAAGTGAAGATTCACGGGTAAAAAGCCCCAAACTTCTAGATAGGTTCTTTTTCAGCTTTCAGCAGCCCTGGGTGAGTTCTTTAGAGAAATGTGGCTCTTTTTCATGGTGCTATTTTCTATGTCCACCTACACAACGAGATGAGGATTTTCATTGTCATTTTCTGAGCTGCGAACGGGCAGAAAGGTGAGAAAATGTCGGATTTTGACCATTTGTGCTGACCTTTCAATTTCAACGTACCTCTCTATAACATGACCCAGCTGTAATTTCAGTGGTCGCATTGGTTTCATTTTTGGTTTGCTTGTAGGGCGCTGGCACCCGCATTCAGTGACCCAGAAAATTTGGCACTGCTGTGGATAGTTTAGTCGCAAAGTGAAGATTCACGGGTAAAAAGCCCCAAACTTCTAGATAGGTTCTTTTTCAGCTTTCAGCAGCCCTGGGCGAGTTCTTTAGAGAAATGTGGCTCTTTTTCATGGTGCTATTTTCTATGTCCAGCTACACAACGAGATGAGGATGGTCATTGTCATTTTCTGAGCTGCGAACGGGCAGAAAGGTGAGAAAATGTCTGATTTTGACCATTTGTGCTGACCTTTCAATTTCAACGTACCTCTCTATAACATGACCCAGCTGCAATTTCAGTGGTCGCATTGGTTTGATTTTTGGTTTGCTTGTAGGGCGCTGGCACCCGCATTCAGTGACCCAGAAAATTTGGCACTGCTGTGGATAGTTTAGTCGCAAAGTGAAGATTCACGGGTAAAAAGCCCCAAACTTCTAGATAAGTTCTTTTTCAGCTTTCAGCAGCCCTGGGTGAGTTCTTTAGAGAAATGTGGCTCTTTTTCATGGTGCTATTTTCTATGTCCAGCTACACAACGAGATGAGGATGGTCATTGTCATTTTCTGAGCTGCGAACGGGCAGAAAGGTGAGAAAATGTCGGATTTTGACCATTTGTGCTGACCTTTCAATTTCAACGTACCTCTCTATAACATGACCCAGCTGTAATTTCAGTGGTCGCATTGGTTTCATTTTTGGTTTGCTTGTAGGGCGCTGGCACCCGCATTCAGTGACCCAGAAAATTTGGCACTGCTGTGAATAGTTTAGTCGCAAAGTGAAGATTCACGGGTAAAAAGCCCCAAACTTCTAGATAAGTTCTTTTTCAGCTTTCAGCAGCCCTGGGTGAGTTCTTTAGAGAAATGTGGCTCTTTTTCATGGTGCTATTTTCTATGTCCAGCTACACAACGAGATGAGGATTTTCATTGTCATTTTCTGAGCTGCGAACGGGCAGAAAGGTGAGAAAATGTCGGATTTTGACCATTTGTGCTGACCTTTCAATTTCAACGTACCTCTCTATAACATGACCAAGCTGTAATTTCAGTGGTCGCATTGGTTTCATTTTTGGTTTGCTTGTAGGGCGCTGGCACCCGCATTCAGTGACCCAGAAAATTTGGCACTGCTGTGGATAGTTTAGTCGCAAAGTGAAGATTCACGGGTAAAAAGCCCCAAACTTCTAGATAGGTTCTTTTTCAGCTTTCAGCAGCCCTGGGCGAGTTCTTTAGAGAAATGTGGCTCTTTTTCATGGTGCTATTTTCTATGTCCAGCTACACAACGAGATGAGGATGGTCATTGTCATTTTCTGAGCTGCGAACGGGCAGAAAGGTGAGAAAATGTCTGATTTTGACCATTTGTGCTGACCTTTCAATTTCAACGTACCTCTCTATAACATGACCCAGCTGCAATTTCAGTGGTCGCATTGGTTTGATTTTTGGTTTGCTTGTAGGGCGCTGGCACCCGCATTCAGTGACCCACAAAATTTGGCACTGCTGTGGATAGTTTAGTCGCAAAGTGAAGATTCACGGGTAAAAAGCCCCAAACTTCTAGATAAGTTCTTTTTCAGCTTTCAGCAGCCCTGGGTGAGTTCTTTAGAGAAATGTGGCTCTTTTTCATGGTGCTATTTTCTATGTCCAGCTACACAACGAGATGAGGATGGTCATTGTCATTTTCTGAGCTGCGAACGGGCAGAAAGGTGAGAAAATGTCGGATTTTGACCATTTGTGCTGACCTTTCAATTTCAACGTACCTCTCTATAACATGACCCAGCTGCAATTTCAGTGGTCGCATTGGTTTGATTTTTAGTGTTTGCTTGTAGGGCGCTGGCACCCGCATTCAGTGACCCAGAAAATTTGGCACTGCTGTGGATAGTTTAGTCGCAAAGTGAAGATTCACGGGTAAAAAGCCCCAAACTTCTAGATAAGTTCTTTTTCAGCTTTCAGCAGCCCTGGGTGAGTTCTTTAGAGAAATGTGGCTCTTTTTCATGGTGCTATTTTCTATGTCCAGCTACACAACGAGATGAGGATGGTCATTGTCATTTTCTGAGCTGAGAACGGGCAGAAAGGTGAGAAAATGTCGGATTTTGACCATTTGTGCTGACCTTTCAATTTCAACGTACCTCTCTATAACATGACCCAGCTGTAATTTCAGTGGTCGCATTGGTTTCATTTTTGGTGTGCTTGTAGGGCGCTGGCACCCGCATTCAGTGACCCAGAAAATTTGGCACTGCTGTGGATAGTTTAGTCGCAAAGTGAAGATTCACGGGTAAAAAGCACCAAACTTCTAGATAAGTTCTTTTTCAGCTTTCAGCAGCCCTGGGTGAGTTCTTTAGAGAAATGTGGCTCTTTTTCATGGTGCTATTTTCTATGTCCAGCTACACAACGAGATGAGGATGGTCATTGTCATTTTCTGAGCTTCAAACGGGCAGAAAGGTGAGAAAATGTCAGATTTTGACCATTTGTGCTGACCTTTCAATTTCAACGTACCTCTCTATAACATGACCCAGCTGTAATTTCAGTGGTCGCATTGGTTTGATTTTTGGTTTGCTTGCAGGGCGCTGGCACCCGCATTCAGTGACCCAGAAAATTTGGCACTGCTGTGAATAGTTTAGTCGCAAAGTGAAGATTCACGGGTAAAAAGCCCCAAACTTCTAGATAGGTTCTTTTTCAGCTTTCAGCAGCCCTGGGTGAGTTCTTTAGAGAAATGTGGGTCTTTTTCTTCGTGCTATAGTCTATGTCCAGCTACACAACGAGATGAGGATGGTCATTGTCATTTTCTGAGCTGCGAACGGGCAGAAAGGTGAGAAAATGTCGGATTTTGACCATTTGTGCTGACCTTTCAATTTCAACGTACCTCTCTATAACATGACCAAGCTGTAATTTCAGTGGTCGCATTGGTTTCATTTTTGGTTTGCTTGTAGGGCGCTGGCACCCGCATTCAGTGACCCAGAAAATTTGGCACTGCTGTGGATAGTTTAGTCGCAAAGTGAAGATTCACGGGTAAAAAGCCCCAAACTTCTAGATAGGTTCTTTTTCAGCTTTCAGCAGCCCTGGGCGAGTTCTTTAGAGAAATGTGGCTCTTTTTCATGGTGCTATTTTCAAGTCCAGCTACACAACGAGATGAGGATGGTCATTGTCATTTTCTGAGCTGCAAACGGGCAGAAAGGTGAGAAAATGTCGGATTTTGACCATTTGTGCTGACCTTTCAATTTCAACGTACCTCTCTATAACATGACCCAGCTGCAATTTCAGTGGTCGCATTGGTTTCATTTTTGGTGTGCTTGTAGGGCGCTGGCACCCGCATTCAGTGACCCACAAAATTTGGCACTGCTGTGGATAGTTTAGTCGCAAAGTGAAGATTCACGGGTAAAAAGCACCAAACTTCTAGATAAGTTCTTTTTCAGCTTTCAGCAGCCCTGGGTGAGTTCTTTAGAGAAATGTGGCTCTTTTTCATGGTGCTATTTTCTATGTCCAGCTACACAACGAGATGAGGATGGTCATTGTCATTTTCTGAGCTGCGAACGGGCAGAAAGATGAGAAAATGTCGGATTTTGACCATTTGTGCTGACCTTTCAATTTCAACGTACCTCTCTATAACATGACCCAGCTGTAATTTCAGTGGTCGCATTGGTTTGATTTTTGGTTTGCTTTTAGGGCGCTGGCACCCGCATTCAGTGACCCAGAAAATTTGGCACTGCTGTGAATAGTTTAGTCGCAAAGTGAAGATTCACGGGTAAAAACCCCTAAACTTCTAGATAGGTTCTTTTTCAGCTTTCAGCAGCCCTGGGTGAGTTCTTTAGAGAAATGTGGGTCTTTTTCTTCGTGCTCTTGTCTATGTCAAAGCTACACAACGAGATGAGGATGGTCATTGTCATTTTCTGAGCTGCGAACGGGCAGAAAGGTGAGAAAATGTCGGATTTTGACCATTTGTGCTGACCTTTCAATTTTAACGTACCTCTCTATAACATGACCCAGCTGTAATTTCAGTGGTCGCATTGGTTTCATTTTTGGTTTGCTTGTAGGGCGCTGGCACCCGCATTCAGTGACCTAGAAAATTTGGCACTGCTGTGGATAGTTTAGTCGCAAAGTGAAGATTCACGTGTAAAAAGCCCCAAACTTCTAGATAGGTTCTTTTTCAGCTTTCAGCAGCCCTGGGTGAGTTCTTTAGAGAAATGTGGCTCTTTTTATTGGTGCTATTTTCTATGTCCAGCTACACAACGAGATGAGGATGGTCATTGTCATTTTCTGAGCTGCCAACAGGCAGAAAGGTGAGAAAATGTCGGATTTTGACCATTTGTGCTGACCTTTCAATTTCAACGTACCTCTCTATAACATGACCCAGCTGTAATTTCAGTGGTCGCATTGGTTTCATTTTTGGTTTGCTTGTAGGGCGCTGGCACCCGCATTCAGTGACCCAGAAAATTTGGTACTGCTGTGAATACTTTAATCGCAAAGTGAAGATTCACGGGTAAAAAGCCCCAAACTTCTAGATAGGTTCTTTTTCAGCTTTCAGCAGCCCTGGGTGAGTTCTTTAGAGAAATGTGGCTCTTTTTCATGGTGCTATTTTCTATGTCCAGCTACACAACGAGATGAGGATGGTCATTGTCATTTTCTGAGCTGCGAACGGGCAGAAAGGTGAGAAAATGTCGGATTTTGACCATTTGTGCTGACCTTTCAATTTCAACGTACCTCTCTATAACATGACCCAGCTGCAATTTCAGTGGTCGCATTGGTTTCATTTTTGGTGTGCTTGTAGGGCGCTGGCACCCGCATTCAGTGACCCAGAAAATTTGGCACTGCTGTGGATAGTTTAGTCGCAAAGTGAAGATTCACGGGTAAAAAGCACCAAACTTCTAGATAAGTTCTTTTTCAGCTTTCAGCAGCCCTGGGTGAGTTCTTTAGAGAAATGTGGCTCTTTTTCATGGTGCTATTTTCTATGTCAAGCTACACAACGAGATGAGGATGGTCATTGTCATTTTCTGAGCTTTAAACGGGCAGAAAGGTGAGAAAATGTCGGATTTTGACCATTTGTGCTGACCTTTCAATTTCAACGTACCTCTCTATAACATGACCCAGCTGTAATTTCAGTGGTCGCATTGGTTTGATTTTTGGTTTGCTTGCAGGGCGCTGGCACCCGCGTTCAGTGACCCAGAAAATTTGGCACTGCTGTGAATAGTTTAGTCGCAAAGTGAAGATTCACGGGTAAAAAGCCCCAAACTTCTAGATAGGTTCTTTTTCAGCTTTCAGCAGCCCTGGGTGAGTTCTTTAGAGAAATGTGGGTCTTTTTCTTCGTGCTCTAGTCTATGTCCAGCTACACAACGAGATGAGGATGGTCATTGTCATTTTCTGAGCTGCGAACGGGCAGAAAGGTGAGAAAATGTCGGATTTTGACCATTTGTGCTGACCTTTCAATTTCAACGTACCTCTCTATAACATGACCCAGCTGTAATTTCAGTGGTCGCATTGGTTTCATTTTTGGTTTGCTTGTAGGGCGCTGGCACCCGCATTCAGTGACCCAGAAAATTTGGCACTGCTGTGGATAGTTTAGTCGCAAAGTGAAGACTCACGGGTAAAAAGCCCCAAACTTCTAGATAGGTTCTTTTTCAGCTTTCAGCAGCCCTGGGCGAGTTCTTTAGAGAAATGTGGCTCTTTTTCATGGTGCTATTTTCTATGTCCAGCTACACAACGAGATGAGGATGGTCATTGTCATTTTCTGAGCTGCGAACGGGCAGAAAGGTGAGAAAATGTCGGATTTTGACCATTTGTGCTGACCTTTCAATTTCAACGTACCTCTCTATAACATGACCCAGCTGCAATTTCAGTGGTCGCATTGGTTTCATTTTTGGTGTGCTTGTAGGGCGCTGGCACCCGCATTCAGTGACCCAGAAAATTTGGCACTGCTGTGGATAGTTTAGTCGCAAAGTGAAGATTCACGGGTAAAAAGCACCAAACTTCTAGATAAGTTCTTTTTCAGCTTTCAGCAGCCCTGGGTGAGTTCTTTAGAGAAATGTGGCTCTTTTTCATGGTGCTATTTTCTATGTCAAGCTACACAACGAGATGAGGATGGTCATTGTCATTTTCTGAGCTTTAAACGGGCAGAAAGGTGAGAAAATGTCGGATTTTGACCATTTGTGCTGACCTTTCAATTTCAACGTACCTCTCTATAACATGACCCAGCTGTAATTTCAGTGGTCGCATTGGTTTGATTTTTGGTTTGCTTTTAGGGCGCTGGCACCCGCATTCAGTGACCCAGAAAATTTGGCACTGCTGTGAATAGTTTAGTCGCAAAGTGAAGATTCACGGGTAAAAAGCCCCAAACTTCTAGATAGGTTCTTTTTCAGCTTTCAGCAGCCCTGGGTGAGTTCTTTAGAGAAATGTGGGTCTTTTTCTTCGTGCTCTAGTCTATGTCCAGCTACACAACGAGATGAGGATGGTCATTGTCATTTTCTGAGCTGCGAACGGGCAGAAAGGTGAGAAAATGTCGGATTTTGACCATTTGTGCTGACCTTTCAATTTCAACGTACCTCTCTATAACATGACCCAGCTGTAATTTCAGTGGTCGCATTGGTTTCATTTTTGGTTTGCTTGTAGGGCGCTGGCACCCGCATTCAGTGACCCACAAAATTTGGCACTGCTGTGGATAGTTTAGTCGCAAAGTGAAGATTCACGGGTAAAAAGCCCCAAACTTCTAGATAGGTTCTTTTTCAGCTTTCAGCAGCCCTGGGCGAGTTCTTTAGAGAAATGTGGCTCTTTTTCATGGTGCTATTTTCTATGTCCAGCTACACAACGAGATGAGGATGGTCATTGTCATTTTCTGAGCTGCGAACGGGCAGAAAGGTGAGAAAATGTCGGATTTTGACCATTTGTGCTGACCTTTCAATTTCAACGTACCTCTCTATAACATGACCCAGCTGCAATTTCAGTGGTCGCATTGGTTTCATTTTTGGTGTGCTTGTAGGGCGCTGGCACCCGCATTCAGTGACCCAGAAAATTTGGCACTGCTGTGGATAGTTTAGTCGCAAAGTGAAGATTCACGGGTAAAAAGCACCAAACTTCTAGATAAGTTCTTTTTCAGCTTTCAGCAGCCCTGGGTGAGTTCTTTAGAGAAATGTGGCTCTTTTTCATGGTGCTATTTTCTATGTCCAGCTACACAACGAGATGAGGATGGTCATTGTCATTTTCTGAGCTGCGAACAGGCAGAAAGATGAGAAAATGTCGGATTTTGACCATTTGTGCTGACCTTTCAATTTCAACGTACCTCTCTATAACATGACCCAGCTGTAATTTCAGTGGTCGCATTGGTTTCATTTTTGGTTTGCTTTTAGGGCGCTGGCACCCGCATTCAGTGACCCAGAAAATTTGGCACTGCTGTGAATAGTTTAGTCGCAAAGTGAAGATTCACGGGTAAAAAGCCCTAAACTTCTAGATAGGTTCTTTTTCAGCTTTCAGCAGCCCTGGGTGAGTTCTTTAGAGAAATGTGGGTCTTTTTCTTCGTGCTCTTGTCTATGTCCAGCTACACAACGAGATGAGGATGGTCATTGTCATTTTCTGAGCTGCGAACGGGCAGAAAGGTGAGAAAATGTCGGATTTTGACCATTTGTGCTGACCTTTCAATTTCAACGTACCTCTATAACATGACCCAGCTGTAATTTCAGTGGTCGCATTGGTTTCATTTTTGGTTTGCTTGTAGGGCGCTGGCACCCGCATTCAGTGACCCAGAAAATTTGGCACTGCTGTGAATAGTTTAGTCGCAAAGTGAAGATTCACGTGTAAAAAGCCCCAAACTTCTAGATAGGTTCTTTTTCAGCTTTCAGCAGCCCTGGGTGAGTTCTTTAGAGAAATGTGGCTCTTTTTAGTGGTGCTATTTTCTATGTCCAGCTACACAACGAGATGAGGATGGTCATTGTCATTTTCTGAGCTGCCAACAGGAAGAAAGGTGAGAAAATGTCGGATTTTGACCATTTGTGCTGACCTTTCAATTTCAACGTACCTCTCTATAACATGACCCAGCTGCAATTTCAGTGGTCGCATTGGTTTCATTTTTGGTGTGCTTGTAGGGCGCTGGCACCCGCATTCAGTGACCCACAAAATTTGGCACTGCTGTGGATAGTTTAGTCGCAAAGTGAAGATTCACGGGTAAAAAGCCCCAAACTTCTAGATAAGTTCTTTTTCAGCTTTCAGCAGCCCTGGGTGAGTTCTTTAGAGACATGTGGCTCTTTTTCATGGTGCTATTTTCTATGTCCAGCTACACAACGAGATGAGGATCGTCATTGTCATTTTCTGAGCTGCGAACGGGCAGAAAGGTGAGAAAATGTCGGATTTTGACCATTTGTGCTGACCTTTCAATTTCAACGTACCTCTCTATAACATGACCCAGCTGTAATTTCAGTGGTCGCATTGGTTTGATTTTTGGTTTGCTTTTAGGGCGCTGGCACCCGCATTCAGTGACCCAGAAAATTTGGCACTGCTGTGAATAGTTTAGTCGCAAAGTGAAGATTCACGGGTAAAAAGCCCCAAACTTCTAGATAGGTTCTTTTTCAGCTTTCAGCAGCCCTGGGTGAGTTCTTTAGAGAAATGTGGGTCTTTTTCTTCGTGCTCTTGTCTATGTCCAGCTACACAACGAGATGGGGATGGTCATTGTCATTTTCTGAGCTGCGAACGGGCAGAAAGGTGAGAAAATGTCGGATTTTGACCATTTGTGCTGACCTTTCAATTTCAACGTACCTCTCTATAACATGACCCAGCTGTAATTTCAGTGGTCGCATTGGTTTGATTTTTGGTGTGCTTGTAGGGCGCTGGCACCCGCATTCAGTGACCCACAAAATTTGGCACTGCTGTGGATAGTTTAGTCGCAAAGTGAAGATTCACGTGTAAAAAGCCCCAAACTTCTAGATAGGTTCT